CCATCTTTACATCCGTACTTGTTCCCTCATTTATTATAATGATTACCTCTCAAGATTTTTAATTACTGCTATAATACTAAATCTAAATTACAAACAGTACCTTGCATATAGTAAAAATAGCATGAAATGGAATTATAATATTACAAATATCCAGTTCACAGTTAGCAAATTCTTACTAAATTGATATGGATTGTGAACATTTGTGTCCCTCCAATCAAGTTATTAAGCCCCCTCTTCCATCACAAGCGAACAAGATTATTTTCAAACTTGAGAGATAATTTAGGCATTAGGAATTGATTCAGACTACACTGTAACTGTACTTTTAATCACTATGCGTGGCAATAAGTACTACAACTGTTTTTATATGTTATTAAATCATACTTCATAAAACAATTAAAAAAATAAAAGAGTCATTACTGTGTAATTTGATCCAATTCTTTGCAGGCCTAAAGGATTCTCTAGTTAATTAAGGTTGGTAACATAAAGTGGATTGTAGGAAAGAGAAACGTTCAACTGTTATACTGCTTTTACTGTTCAGAATGTCTTATTTAACAGAAAAAGTATTATGTGCTTTTAATTGAAAATTTACTTAATAATTTTAGTCTTAGTTACCATCTAGTTACTTGTTTCTTTATCATTTTATTGTATAACCTGTTAACTTGTTTTTGAAAACGGGTAAGTTTAAAGCAATAAAGGTGTGTTTTGAGATAGTGAAAATCAATGTAACGCTTGAGTAAATAAGAACTTTTAAGTGTTTAAGATAAATCTCAATAATTCTTACATCGCTTTAAAATTCAGTTACAACAGTTGCAATTGGTGTTTATAAACTTCATTCTAGTTTAATTTCGTTAAGCGTCTTAAATCATACTTTAACATGAAATTAATAAACTTTGAAAGATGCGCTTAAAATGTATCTTTATTAGAATTGATTTGTTTGTTAAAAATTTATATTTTTGCAAGTTAACAACTATCCCATAAATAAGACTGCTAATTTACCAACAAACACTAAGATGAACAATGATTGGAACGACAACAATTAAAAATAAAGTTTAATTCAATGATTAAAGGGGTGGTTTTCATTCACAATAGTAATAATTAAAATCTACAATCAAAAGATAAACACTATGCCTCCTATATGTATAGTGAATTGTTAAATATCTTTATTTCTGACTTCAGCCAACGCTCTTAACATAATTTTAAGAGATAATATAAGTTTAGATTGTGAGCTGTGGAAAACGGGTATGAAACTACCAAGAGCTGAATTCGACGTGTTAATTTTCTTGACTGAATAAATTAATATGTCATGATATTTTATTTCACTTTTTTTGTTTAAAACTAAATGAAATAGTTATATCGAAATATTTATTATTTTCTCTTAACTCACTCCGTCGTAGCATAAGGAAATTATTTAATTATTTTATAGATATATTTCAATAGTTTATGAAATAGAAAAGATATTATTTGATTATTTTCATAATGCATAATGTTCAATAACGGTACGTGACATTAATTGGATTGATAAAAGATGTAGCTTATGTTTGCCACATGCAGCACAGCCAATGTTTATAAACAGATTATAAACAGGTTATTTTTTTCAGTAAAAGAAAATCTGGTATTTTTATTCGACAACCAAAAAATACCAGTAAACTAATAATGCAATTTTTTACGTGTGATGTCTACTAAAATCATATCTTATATAGTTAATTAGCTTATGGGATTTTTTTATAAATAAAGGTGTTTGTGGTCCTTATAAACTTGAAAGAGTTGTTTAGGCTGCATGTCAAAGGGGTTCTGCCGTCCCATTAGTCAGTAACAAGAGGGTTGATCCGTCTACTGATGATGGTAAAGGTTTAGCGGCTCAAAGGATTGACTCCGTTAAAGTATAACACGCAATTGGGCAACATGTTTATAAAAGAGAAAATTCACACATTGAGAGATCATTACTTCAGTTCATAAATATTGCAATATCAGTGAAAATTGGTATTTAAAACAAAACATCAAATTAAATATATCTTTGTAACATCTAATCTTTGATTTGATTGCTGAAAACCCAAGCCGCGAATAAAAATAATGTTTACAAACATTTTGAACAGTATTTTGTTTCTTTACAGTATACTAATGACGAAATTGACAATCGCGCTCCAGTGAAACAAATTTCAATAAATTCACTGGGTCTATGAGACAAATTAACAGTTACTGTCGAAAGCAATAGATTTCAAATGTATATACTTTTCAGATCTGTGAGGTAAAAATGAAAAACTTGTCGTCAATCGACCACATGACAGTCTCCGCTCGACCGAGGACAATACTCTGACAGTTGACAGCTGTAGCTTACAACCAGGCGATCTGATTTGTATTGAGAGAATTGAGATACACTATATTTTTTTTTTGTGGTAAATTAAATGAAAATAAAATACAATAAAATTTGCTTACAAAGGGAAACAATAATTTGTCTAATCTTGGATTATGAAATTGATGGTTGAAGCACTGTGCACTCATGCCGTTCTAAATAATGTTACTCAGAGTGTTAATAATTTTTTCTAAATTACCTTTACACTTATACAGCTTTTGTTATTATCTTACAGTTTATCTTTTCATCCAAAAGAGTAGACTTTTACCGTTAAGGTTTGAAACTGTAGCGTGCCTCATTTAGATAAGTAAAGTTTCCAGATCTAATGGCTTGTTAATGGAACTTGTATTGTTAAATGGTCGTTAACAGCTCGAAACTTTGGATATTACCAGCATTAGCTACCCAATATCACAGGATCAAAAACAGCAGTATCAAATAATTTGGCAAAGTAAAACCGCTAAATTCCTACACGGATTAGTTATGACAAATAAATAATTAAGTGTTGGCCTAATTCAAACCTCAAAACTGCGAATTTTGCATTTTAAAAGCAACCGGTAAATTAAGATATAAATTGGTTCGGGCATTTGAAAGTTTTTACAAGCAGGGGGAACGTGCTACAATAAGCTTATGAAAATTATTTTACTATTCGACTTTTTGAGGAAAGTTTGGAAAATAACAATGATCACATGTTTTTAATTCATCTTGGAAACTTTTTCTTTACTATAAATTTTGAACTGCTTAAACTACAGTATGCTTGAATTAGTAATTGATACAATGTATACAGTTTTAATGGATTACTCGATTCCCGTACGTAGGAAGGGCCAACAGCTCGTTAAGTTTATAACAAGATGAAATATTTCATTTATTCCGATGTCTTCTTGCTCTCTGCATAAAATTTGTATAGGCAATATTTTAACTGTACAGGAAAATAAATACAAGTTTATAGAGATAGAAAATTTAAGTTTCATTACAGCTTTCAAAACTAATTAGAAAGATTTTAAGTTGTAACGTCATAGCAATAAAACAATAAAAATGTGATAAAAAGCATCATATCCCAAACAAAAACTTAAAAAAACAATACAATTTTACAGTTTTGAATGGAATTTATAATGGTTAATTTAGAATGGAAATATATTTCCATATATGTGTCGTTTTTTTTTTTTTTTTTTTTTTTTTAAATTTGGTTTAAAGGTGTAAGGCGGGATAAACTTAAATGAGTTCGTGAAACAGCATGATCGGACCATGGAAACGGGGTTTATGGGGTAAAAATTTCCAAAATGCAAAGTGTTTTTGTAGTGTTATTGGTAACGGAGAAAGTAAAAAAAAAAAATATTTTAAAACTCCCATGTTATTCTTATGGAGAATATTGTAAAATGTTGTAGTTTGCTTGTTTATAGATATATTTTGACCAAACTTGGCAAATTTATTTATTTTATATTAAGCTATTAACACTTTACTACAAAACACACTTTGTTAGTTTCCTTGTGGCAGCAAACCTACGTACTCCTTAATCCTAATTTTATTTAACAAGATTTAATCAGCGAACACAAAAAAACAATAAACAATAAATAATTGGTTTTCTGAGTTCGCTGTATTAAATTGGAAATCAATTCAGACAACTGGGAATCCGTTTAGTCGGCAGGTTTGCTGCGGTGGGGGTATTTTATTTAATAATTGGCTCTTTAATTCCATAAAATCTGCATGAACCACACTATTAGGATAGTCTAACGTTAATTTACTAACTGGATTGCAGGTTGAACCACTATAGTAAATTGTTTCAAGTGTACAGTACTTAATCTATTTTTATCTGCCTAGATCTAGCTAACCGTCTAAAATAAAATTAAGCTATAATTATGACAATTATGACATGGAACGAATTTATCACAACATACCAAGTCATGATTAAAAATGTACAAAAATAATGAATGATCAAATGAGCAATAAAAGTAGTTTTTTTATTCTTACTTTGTTTAATCACACAAAACCTGTAGGACGACTTCAAATAAATATTCGCATTTCACTTTGTTAACAGATGTTTTCAACCAGACTGATATTCTGAAATAGGTGCACTCTTTGATCGATCATGCGTTATTGTTTGCTCTATTATTTTCCATTGTTAACAACTATTTAACAAGATGGTTTCCTTTGGAATTGTATCCACTTATTTTTTTTTAGTAGTGTACACGCTGTAGTAATAATAGAGATCGATGGTGAACACATGTGCTTTTCATCCCAGAAGGCAACATTTTAGAACAGTAAACCAGTAAGTTTTGAAAAATATACGCTCTTAGGGAAATTTTATACGTGTGTAGTATTTTTGCACTAAATGTAAAGGAAGTGAATGCAATTCCTCAGAGGGCCGAGTCAAATGGGATGTTGACCTGACTTGAAGTAATGTGACAAACAATCCCAGGTCTGTGTTCAACATAGAAGATGGGTTTTTTTTAGAGAGCTCAGGAGTCCCACACTACGTGCTGGCCACCTTTGTCCGTAAAAAACATTTTTACCTCCTCTCCCTTAAAAAGGTTATAATACAATTTAAAAAAAATAGTGAATGTAGGTAAAAATGCAGCTCTGCAATGTATTTTCTTGGCTATAAAATATTTAAGTTTTGAAGGAAAAGTTCAGAGTTTATTACGATGTACTGCAATGACAATAACATTTATTGAAAGTTTCATAAACACGAGTCTACACCAGAAACTCTCGTGTGTAAGTTATTGGCTTAAAGTTTCTCCAGTTTTGAGCGTTTAGTGCAATATCTACTTTGTTTCCCATTATGCTCTTTGTGTACATAGTTTTATTGCCAGGTGGAGGTCTGAAAACTCCAGCACGAGTTTCCGGTTGGCCTTTCGCCTTGCCCATCTTAGGCGGACTTTCAGGAGAACTTTGGTAAGGAGGGTATTTAGAGAAACACCCGTCTAAGGTTTTATTCTTCCCAGAAGGATAAAACTGTCCAGATTTTAATTTAGTCTTCTCAAAATCCTCTTTGTACGTAGTTTGAATTTTATCAGTGTAGTAAGGATTTTTATAGAAGTACCCTCCAGGATTTCCACTCAAAAAGGGAATTAGCTTACCTCCTTTACCTCTAATTGGTCTAGGGTCGTCATATGGAGAAGGTTTGTACGAAGGATATTTATTAATGCATATATCTGTGTAGCCAGCATTTCCCTTTTTCCCGGGATTCACTTTAAAGTTCAAAGGTAGTTTTGCCTCCTTCGTTCTCGGTTTGGAAACAGGCGAGAAAGCCTTCACTATTCCACCAAAAGTTCCAAAATAATCCCCCGGCGTTGCGTGTTTCTTAGAATACGAAGGAGGAATGAATGTTCTCAAGTTTGGGTATTTCTTCTTAAACTCTTTTTTTGCTTCTACTTCCATTACGTACGGACTTGTGTATGCTTCCTTTTCAAATATTCGCTTGAACTTTTGATCGAAGTAACAGTCTTGCAGGCCTGTTTTCCACTTGGGCACTCCTGGATACATTTGAGACTTCTTCAGATCTCGCACCCCTGAATGTGTCAATGGAGCTGTGTAGGGCTGTCCGTGCATGTACTCCATCTCTGCGAACAGCCCGACCCTCTCAAGGTCAGAGCGGCCATGATGGTAGCCTAGTGGCTCCGGCATCTTGGAGGTGATACGTGGGGACTGGAAATTTAAGAATATATATCGTCATGGAAACTTGTAGTGTTTTTTATAACTTTCAACGTAAGACGTGCTAAGTTATATAAAACCTTTGACTATTAATCACTAGTCAATGATAAAACCAATTAAAGGCATTTGTATACTATCTTTCAGTTCGGGTTGTTCACACTATCAAGCTTTGAATCTGTTATTGATATCCATATGGTCATCTATGATCATGGCAAATAAGTAGATTGATATATGATCGAAATTTCAGTGTTTTGCTAGCCTGGTATATTACTGTATAGAATCTCAGAGTGTAGAAGATCTGGTTCGATTCCCGAGGTATATAAAAAAACACTTAACGGGTATGGATCAGATTCGCTTTAAAAAGTTTGAATTAGGTTCTTTAAAATGCTAATGCCGTTGACTGATATAAAGGTTTATAGATTGTTTTTCAAATATCTATAAATGTAATTGAAAAATGCATTAATACATTTTTTTTTTCAAGGTTAATTCTACAGTTTCCAGTAGTCTCTAGTTAATTGTTCCACTGTATCTGTCTCCAAATATGTATTGCATGTTTTTAATTTCCATTATGATTACTGATTCTTTGGTTCATTGATATGTTGTCCATGGATAATGTGTGATAAATATGATAAACGTTTGTTCCACGTTTTTATTTATTCATAGTAATTTTGTTATTCCTTTTGTACTATACTAAAAAAAAAACAGTCTCGCGTTCTAACAGTTATGGGTTATGTATCGTTACTAATAAAATAACAGGCTACTTTAGGAACACCATAAATCTTAGAAATTTGTATGTCCATTGCATTTAAAAAGGTTTGAACAAAGTAGAGGAGTCGTGTAAGCTCTAAGTGCTTTCAAGAGTAATTAAGTAAGTGGATTTGTCCAATAGTCGAGCCACTGTCACTCCATTTGTACTTTCATTTCAAAACTACTATACTTTATCCTAGCTATTAGCTTTGAACATAGAATCATCAACTCATTAGATACTAATTCCAATATTTAAATGCTATTTATACTATTCATAATGCACTATCCTAATCAGATAAATCTTAGTTGTTTGAAAAGAAATATAATTCATATCGTTTACTTTATATATTTTCCAAACCACATATTATAACTTTGAAATATTATCAGGCATAAAAAATTATTTTATCCTCGTTTTTAAGCAATTTCTCAGAAATATTTGTCCTAATAAGCATGTTTTACATTTAAAATACTGTCATTTTAAGCAAGTGTAAATATTTTACATTAGACACTTGTCATTTTAAAAACTGTGTGTTTAAAAAATAATGCTACGTAGATATCATCATCACAATATACTATGCTCTTTCCTCTAAAAAACGTACCAATTATGTAATACGTTAGGAATCTTTTAATAAAATCAATGTAAGCCCTACGTACTCCAATTAAATCCGTCTACTATAACAAATAGCAAATCAAGTTATCGTTCAGCACGCATGCAAGAACCTAAAATAAAACTAAAAAGTATACAAACGTAAATTGTTTGAATTTAAGAAAGAGTATTATTGTATGGTCAGAAGGGAGTATATCAGTCAAAAAGCTACTGTATTTTAACGCCCTTGCCAAGATGAAAATGAGTTTAAAAACAAAAACTGATTAAACAGTAGTTTTTATGATATCTTACAGTGAAACATTTATGTATCCTACTATATCCACACAAAAAATGCATGTTTATATTGCAGGAGATTGTATTTCAAAATTAGCATAGTTAACTTAACTAAGCTAACAAACACTACAGATCCGAAAAAGATGTTGGACATTTTTGTTAATGAGACGTTTGGGATTTTGGAAGGCTAAAAACAGATACAAAATTTAGAACCACTGTTTTAAAATATTTAAGTATTGCTATGTCTTAAAAGTTAGTCCAATAAATATATCAATATCCCAGTGAAAGGTTTACAAGATAACTTAATGTGAGTGGTCATTTTATTACATGCATACGCTATTAGCAAAGTACAGCTCTCTAATAGTAAACATGGTAGGGAATGGCAATTATAGTGGTTACTTTAAAAACATTTAATTAAATTATAAAAAGTTTTAAAATGATGTAGTGACGAGCGGATTATAACAATTCATGGAATACTCGGAAAGTAAAACAAACAAACATGGATGATATAAGATAAAAGTATTACTCAAACGTAACAAAGGCATTTACTTCAGCTAATGCTTTCATTGTCTGGCGGAGAAATGCTTAAAACAAAGAAAATAATAGCTTGTCTTCCATTTACAGCATACAGATTCAAGGCTTTAAAATACATGAATCCTATAGCCCAGATACTAGAGTAGTGTGGGGAGCGAGCTGGCGTAGTGGCTAGAGCGCGGGACTTCGGTCCGTGAGGTCCCGGGTTCGATCCCCGCCAAGTCACCAATGGATTTTATCTAAGTGATAATGCCGCAACCCCTAGGTCTAGCCTGAAGTAATGTGAAAAACAATCCCAGGCTCGTGCCTAGCGTCCTAGGACAAAAAAAAAAAAAAAAAAATTGCCCAGATACAGATTTATTGGAAGTGCACTGGTAGGTATTACAGTCTTGACTTGTCTACAGTACACAGGTTCTGTACGAGTTGAGTTCCAATTTATTGATTCTATAATGATTTTTTTCTTCATTTAGGAGAGTAGTATCTTAAGCTTCATTTGCCATTACTATAGTCCTGAGAAATTCTAAATCATTGAAAGTTAAGAAAATATGTATACAAATTTGCATTCTTTTAAGATATATAATTTTAATCTACCTCGGATGGTTTTGCTCATATTTCCTTGAGGATTAAACGCAAAAATAGATGTATTATGCAGAGTATATACCTTGGATATATTTTTAGAACCTATAAAAAAATTGGGGGAAATCTTTAACAGCTGAAACCACAATAAAATGCAAATCGATGTTCATTTAGTACAATCCGTTGAATAATTTAAAAGTAAAATGATGCTTTAGATGTTTATCCATAACTAAAATTGTTATGAAAGGATATTTTGTATGGGAGACTAATTTTGACCAAATTTTTAATCTCAGAGTATTAAATAACTTCTAGGCTTAGTAGAATTTACTGATCAAACAGTTATATAACTACTGCAAAGTACTGTTCCTGGCTGTAGTAGCTGGCATTGTTATAATCTGCATATGTTACATGTTAAGTACATACGGGTTGCCAAAGTCATAAACAGAGTAACCACAAGCGTTAGTGTTGGTATACCTGGCTGATGAACTAGTTTCGGCTAGGAGAGTCCGTTGCTATTTATAACAGTTAAATAGATAAAATGGGCTTAAGAAAAATCCGTTGTTTTTAGTCTAACTTTTTAGAGAAGGTGCTTATGCGAAGAATACCTATATAATTTTTAATTCCTATAGCACTATAGAAGTTATTCGCACTCATTGCTTCATGATTTCTTTCAAAAGTATGGCTTATATTCTAAGACACAAAAAATAGTCATTATGTGACATTTTTTAAATCCCTTAATACAGAATTATTTATTTGAAATGTCACATAACCGAGAGGCAAAATCACCTCACCGAAATTTCACATCACCCATTTGTTTGATAAATGGAGGATGTTATTCTAATAACGTAATCAGTGTAGTTATGAACATTAAATTAGCTTAAATGTTGTGTTTATCAACTTACCAGTGTTATTTGTAATAGAATTATGTTTACTAAAACAAAAATAGTTGATGATAAAAATATAAATCTAAAAAAAAAATAAATGATGAAAATGGTAAAATGTTTTTGTTACCTAAGGTCATCCCTGTGCCCAATATAATATGTGTATTTTTTACTTTTTACTTGTTACTTCGATATTTGAATCAGCACCAAAAAACACCTACTCATGGAATTTTAGGTTCTGCTTCAACATGTTTTTTACTGTGGTATAGCTAGTAGACATTTACTTTTCACGTTAAAAACTAATTTATCGTAAAAAAAAAAACACATAGAAGTTAGGTGAATCTCAACTAATCAATGTTAATTTTGATAAAAAATAGAGTTAAAATAAGAGCAAATGCGAGGGAATAAGGATTAATCTGTTCCAGTCAGTGGCTGATGGCAAAGACTACAAAACATCGTCCGTCCCGAGGGTAAGGCTTGTTTTATTGTTGGCTAGAAGAATACTCGCATCACAAAATGCTATTTTCTACCGGATTGTATTCAAATCACTGGCCATTGCTAACGTGAATTATGAGTAATTTTTCTTTTCAATATTTTACTAGAAAATCCGTCAAAGAAAATGGAATTGTGTAATAAAGCTATTTATAATTTATCATGGACATTTTTTTAGAATAACTTGTTTACGAACACACCATAAAAAATTATTATTTTATTTTTTAATGGTTGTTTGAACTAAAATTAAATACATTATTTAGTCGTGCTTAAAAAATGAAATTTAGTTTGTCATTCTTTCATATTCCGACCTCCCCACCTATTTTTTCTATTGTAGACCCATACAGATTTTTCTCATTTTTGATTGTTGATGGACAAGGACAGATGAGTATACCAATGTTATGTTTTTGATCTTTTCAATACAATTAAATTCTTACATACCATAAAATGTTCAAAAAGCTGTCAATTCCTTAGGCTGGTGAATGAATCATAAATTTTGAAAAAAATTAAAATTGTTAGCCAACTTTCGGTAAAAAAAACTAGCTAGTTCAACATTTAGCATTAGGAATTTTCTGACATTCCTAAGAAAAATTCAAAGATATTTATAAACTATAATATGCGGTTAAAAACACCATCCCCTTAATTTTATGAAGCCCTTAAAATATAATATTTTTCCTTTCACACAAAATTCAAAATTTGGAATTTTTCCAAAGTATGTTTCTATATTTAACATCAACAAAAATGGATGAGAACAATGTTTGTTAAAGCAACATGTGCTTGTCATGAAGATGTATTTGAACTTCCGCCAACCGATTCTGCTTCCGTTTCCTGATGCAGTAGGATCGTAGGTGAACTTATTTCAAAAAGCCGAACA